GATAGTCGGAACCAAAGGAACACCTGATGTTGGGTTGTTAGACTATGACCTGACAGCCCGGGAGAAGAGTATTCCGTAACAGAGAAGATTAGCAAGAACCAGATACAACTTCCTGCACATTGAGAAAGCAGCACACCTTGCAAGTGTATCGTTTCTTTGCTAGACAATTTGGAGGAAACTCTCGGTGTTCCAGAAAGTAATTGGTTGATTATGTAGGGTTGAAGGGCGGTGGTGAGTAGGCAAGTTTCTTAACTTTTTGAGTCGGACGATCGAGTTTGCACTAAAATTAGAGGATGGAGTAGGATTATTTAGTCATCCTGTAAGTAGAATTATATCCATTTTGTTTTAGCACGTCAGTTGTAAAGTAATTTCGGATATCATGTGTTAGATGTATGTGATGAAATCCCTCTAATCCAAAGGTATCGAGATGATAAGTAAATGAACAGTTAACTGATTGAGCAATATTAAAGGAGTCAGTTCACGGGTTGAAACAGGCCATTGCGTTGATCGAAGAAGGTAATGCTGTTCTGGTTAGCCGTACAGAGCATCGTTATGTTATTGTACAGTCACATTATCAAGGGAGTTTGCTGTAGGACCTATTTTAGTCCTTTGCCTAGTAGTCATCTCGGTATGGTTTTGGAGGAGGTTATAGGGGAATCTGTAAGGAGTTGGCTGCTCTGATGTACATGAGCGTTAAGCCCGATAGATGCACACCCATAGCGATTCGCGGTCACTCGAGGACGCGTGATTTAAGCGGGGGAGTATGTCATCGGCCAGAAGCAGTGACACTTTAATTTTGCCATTATTAATGCATTTAATTGGTAAATCGTAACGCTTGATTAGTTATGATGATATAAAATTCTAAGGGAATAAAACCACAAAATAGAGTTTGGTGGTAGTGAGGCTGTAGTTGTAGGTTGTGTTTGTTAGAGGTGAAATACTTGTGGACGATCTTGGTGGTTACTTTAACTCGAGATAAGGGCCAAAATACCAAGTCGCCTTCTCAAAGTGCCACCTCAGCATCCATACAACCGAACAACCAGGCCTCTGTCTAGATGACCTGGCACCCTAGGTCTAAAATTCCTGAAGTCAGTTCAGGTTGAAACATCATTGAGTGAAGGTGAATCGGTGTTGACTCCTGGAACTCATTTGAAGAATACGGCGTGATTAGCCGTGAAAACTAGCTTAACTAACTAGAAATTAATTCTAGTATTAGGGTGAAGTTAGCTGTAGATTCCAGTTCGTCTTTTCCCGAAGTTAGCGGAAGGCGGGCCTAGGAACTATGGTCAAATTGTAAGTATTATTACTTAATAAATGTATAAGTTCTTTTCACACAGTGTTTAATATTATCCCATTTTGTCATTCCTACATAATAGGACACTGAACAAAGGAGAGAACCACACCACAGAGATACTGGTTGGGTTGAACACAGTGGTACACGAAACAAAAAGAAACAACACTTATACTAATTAAATCACTTGGAGTACATCGACACGAGAAATACAATATCTATTAAATAAGAACCTATGTCTTGAAGAATAATGATATATATGAGTGAAAATATCAATGATATCGAGATATATGTGAAATAGAGTAATTTAATTCATTTTAAGGTTTCCAGAAATAGTGAATGATGAATCAGAATGATGCCATACTGATCTGAAGTTTTAATGAACAAAAATATTATTGAAACTATCTGAGATAACCTTTGATTAACTTACTAGAGTAAAGTAATAACGAAGATTTATGTTGGGGTAACAATGACCACATAACACTGTGACACTTAACAACAACAACGACAACAACAACAAAACTCAACATACGAACGGGAGGAATAGGAAGAGGAGGAGATAAGCAGGAGGAGACAAAGAGATTATCGATAGGAGATTCCTGCATCGACCACACGGCGGCGGGGAGGAACACCGTTTGAAAGAGCAGACCGTAATAATTTAGATTTTTTTTGCTTTAGGTGGTATTTGGTGCGAAAAGAGGAGGAGGAGAAAAGAGAAGAATTGTGGTGTTTATAGGGGATATATGTGTAGGTTGATTGATTTATTTTTTAGGTGGTATTGATGTTATCAATTTTTTGTTGTAAAGTTTGTTAGTAAATTGTACTGTTATTTACTATATTTTTTTAATTTTTTTATATATTTTGTTTCTCTTTCAGGTAATTCATTTATAGGAAAACTAGTCGGTGTTTTCTTTATTATTAGTTTTGGGGAATATTTGATAGAGAAATGAAAGCAGAAGAAAGATAAGAGGCAGATAATACGTTAATGAAAGAGGAATAACAGATTCTATTAAAATAAACTTAGATAATAATGCAACATGGTAATATTAGTACTAATTGGAGTAATGAGAGCATTGTAGTATTAAGAATTAGGACAATATGTATTTTTTTGTAATTTATAAGTTGTCAGGGTACTCATAGTATCATTCTAATTAACTTTTAATTAAAAATTTGTGCGTTACGTTTGTAATTAATATAAAGTGTGGGTTGGTGATTATGGAGTTGAATATTGTACCTGTGTTTTTATATGTATATAAGAGGTATATATTCAGAACTGAGCCGTACTAGGATGGACGGAAACTAATGGCCATAGAAATTGCATAAACGATTTTTTAAAAATGTAATTATTTAAAGAGTATAAGGTACTGTACTGTACTGCCACGTTTCCAGACGTCTAAGAAATCTCTAAAAATCAAAGCATATGCGACTGAATTCTTTAATACCATGGCCACTGATTATCGTCTTTTAATTTGCCATTTCAGGCTTGTTATGTCGCATTAGTATAGACAAGGTTCTTTTGCCTTTACTGGAGGCTATGGTGCCATACCATAAGTACGGCTGGTTTCCTGTGAAGGAGAATTTTAATTAAATCATTCAAGTCCTGTGTCGATGTTGGTGATTTTTGCCGTGTTTTATTTCGCAGTTTCCCACGTTTTCAAAGCTGTTGAAGGTTTATGCACTATTGATGATATCACCTAACGATAATTTTAAAGTTTGATGGCTTTTTCAAGAAGATATAGGTTCATTTTGTCAAAGGCAATCACAAATCCCTACGAACTATGTTATTAATATATCCATATCTGTCGGTGCTTTGGCAACTACCAGACCCCGTGCCGCAACGATCACTTGACGTAGTAATTCTGTTGGATGGGAAATTTGAATATAGATAGAATACAACTAATGTAATTATAAGAAATATGAGTCATATGAAAGTTCATTATGACACGAAGAAAAATAGTGAGATTGAATAGCGTAAGAATGCAAGGGCTGCAAGTGACGTGTTTTGCTTAAATTTATCAGAGTTTTATGTAATTAAGATTTTATTAGAATATTATCTTATTCTGGAGGTGTATTCGAAATGCATCAGTTACGTCTATTGCACTGTGAAGTTTTCAGTGTCATTTACGCCTTAACTATGTTGACTGTTAAATACTTTTTAAATGCGTGTTAAGGGGTATATCAGAGGATGGATTTATGAAGATTTTACCAGTTTTAATCATTTTTTTATGCTACAAAAGTTTTTAAAAGTTTGATCAACAAATAAAAAGTTGTATCAAGTGATTCCCTTGTAAGCAGACATGCAAGCCATAAAAAATGCTAACTGACTTGATATATTTTAATTGCTAAATATTTAATCTGGAATTAGGAATCTTTCTAAGTGAACACATCTTTTACAGGTTGACATCATGATGGAAGGATGGTACCTTTCTTTGATAAAAATTTGTGTGTTAACAGTTTGTAATTAAGTGTGGGTTGGTAATTATGGAGTTGAATATTATGCCTGTTTTTATATGTATAACAGAGGTATATATTCAGAACTGAACCGTACTAGGATGGACAGAAAATATGATGGAATCAGGAATCTTTCTAAGTAACACATCTTTTACAGGTTGACATCATGATGGAAGGATGGTGCCTGCTCCTTGCACAGCGGCCTTACTAACGGGGACGCTAGCCGAGGACTCAAAATGGGGAGGCCTTTACCCTCGGGAGTCGGGCAGCAGAGAGGTAAAATCACTGGATGGCCTCTGGAACTTCCGCCTGGCACCTCTCCATGACCCGTTGCAAGGGTTTCGAGAGGAATGGTTTCTGAGACCTCTCAGTAAGGTGAGCTCATGCTTATCCACGTAATTAGTGGGATGGTTAGTGATTTATTTTCGAATTGTTTGCTCAAGCATGTAGATAGTAGATAAGCAGCTTAGCTGAAAGATCTTCCCAAGGCCTTATGTGACTGTGTACTGTAAGTGCCCAGAATAGGACTGGCCTCTGTGATTTGTTGACTAGGAGAAGTTAGTAACTATATCTGAATATTTTGGCAAGACAGCTTGAACTAGTTCCATATTTAAAAGTAGGTTGTCAAGGAGACTTACAATCTCCATCTTGCTGAATGTACAGTCTAAAGCTTAACTATCTTTTTCTGTTTGCCAGTTAATGAATTAAACCTATTGAAACATCAGCACACTCAACTAGGAAATGCCTTTGGTTGGGTTGTAGTAACTGGTTAGAAGCTTCAAGTTTTGAAGCACAATACATTTCTTGGAAACTTAATCTTGTTACACTGATATGGAGTAGAGTATTTTAATGGCAATCATTAATATGAAATATTTAAATAGAATACTGCAGTATATGTTACAGTATATATTACACTAACACTTGTTACATTTTACTTGATAATTTTATATAAGATTATTTATTTTCAAGGCTCATTAAAATTGGTGTGAACTGTAGTTAAGCATATCCCACATTTTCACTCCACCATCTACATTACCGGTAATAGAGAATGGATGATACACTCAGCTTGTAACTAAACACCATGAAACAGGAAATGGAGGAATGGCAACTTTTGTCATGGGTAACGAGGCTGCTGTCTGTGTTTGATTGTTGTGAATGTGGATTGTCTCTCGCATTCAGTTGATTTTTCACCAAAATTAGGGGAGATAGTCGTTTCTTTGACTATATGTAGGGGAGATTTGTTGGTCTGTGCTACAGCATGCCTCTAGGTCACCGCATATACTCTCCTGAGTGTTTAAGCAAATATTCCTCAGTTGGGTTGACTGATTTTTATGGCAGTGAGTGTCATTTCGACTCTTTTATTATTATTTTTATTTTTTTTTTTTTTAATATTATTATTATTAGTTTAATTTCTTTTAGTGCTTATTTTTTATATCTTTGAATGCATTAATTCTGGATGATTCCTCTGTAAATATACAGATCAACTGTGCTTTCTAGCTCATCTTTGTTATTCTAGAAATCTGGAAGAAAGTATGCAAAGAATAAAGGCACCATACATTTAACACTCACACTATAGGAATGCAATATGAGCAGTAATTATATAAGAAAAAAGAATTCCATTTTTTTTCTCTCTCTCTCTCTCTCTCTCTCTCTTCTCTCTCTCTCTCTCTCTTCTCTCTCCTCTCTCTTCTCTCTCTTCTTCTCTCTCTCTCTCTCTCTCTCTCTCTCTCTTTTCTTTTTTCTTTTTTTTTCCTTTTTTTTTTTTTTCTTTTTTCTTTTTTTTTGCCAGGACCTATTATACTGTAATCATGCACAAAGAAAAATGAATATAAGTTATAATTGATATGAAACTGAATCTTTGTCTTGAAGCATTAACTCCATTATGTAGAGGAGTGCCTGCTCTACCTTGAATTCACATTTTTAATCATATTTACGTTAATGACGAGGATATTCACCTCTTTGCTCTTCAGTGCAATGGTTACTTTAATTACCTGGTAGGAATTACCCCCAAATTAGGAACTGCCTTGGAGGTAATATCCTCAGAATCACTGAAATCTATTCAGGAATTGACTCCTGTCCAGCCCTACGCTCTGGTTTTCCTGTATTTCAGTATGACCCTCCCAATGTTGCCTTTCAGTCAGTCCAATGTATCCTCTTGGTACTTGCAATGGTTCCCCACTTGTCTTTTCCAGTGGTCCTCCGTGGAACTCCTTCATATATGTTAGGTGATGGCATAGGGCGCAGAAACCCTGACGATGATTGGTTGGATAACATATTATCCCTTTCGAACTTTCCAAGGGTCAGCAGAAGTTTTTGAAGAAGATTAAAAACTGACTGATTTTCACTCCATCTCTAATTTTTATGAGTATATTAGGGGATGTGGGTTTCTACTAAATGTATAATGATTTTTATCTCTTTATTATTTTTGTTTATGTGAAAGACACTTTTATGATTATTTTAGGAATGTTTTTGGGTAAGTTTAAATGAGAATAAAGCTGAGAGACAGGATTAGAACATTGTATTCATCAGACGAGCTTGTGATAAAAATCTGCTTTACTATCATTCATATTTTTCCTTTTTCGCCATTATTAATGACAAAGGACAGTAATTTTTTTTTAATCTGTTACAGTTAAAAGAGATTCAAGGAAATATATGTTGTATGTTGTGATTTTAGTATTGTTTTTTTCACCATTTTAGACTGGGTCAGTGATATCGATGGCCGTCCCAAGTAGCTACAATGACGTAACGCAAGACAAAGCTCTCCGAGACCACATTGGATGGGCTTGGTGAGTTGTAGATTATTTTTGTATCATGTTAATTAAACTGAAATAATGTTTTTAGATCTTTAATGTTGCTTATGAGAAATATGATTTATTGTGATGGTTAAGATATTTTTTGGATAAATTGTTTTGTAATGATTTAACCTGTCAATGCTGGGAACATGCAGAATTTACTTAAGTTTCTTTATTTTTTCTCATACTTGACTCTGTAAGCACTTAGATACAAGGAGTTTTTTATTGGGCTTACCTAAACTCACCAATTTAATCCATTCCTTGAAGTGCTATAAAATTATTTTATTTTTTTTACTCTTTTTTTTACTTTTGTATTATTATGTTATTATTATTATTTTTATTATTATTATTATTATTATTATCATTATTATTATTATATATTTTCTGTTATTTTGATGATAACAGTAATAAAACCTCAATTATATTTATAGTGGACAGGCCATATATTGACTCCTCGCATCAGTGCTCAATACATGCAATGCTGTAAAAGTGCGTGATTGTCTTCCATTAGGTACGATCGCACTTTTTATGTGCCCGTGAGATGGCAAACTGACAAGCAGAGGGTTGTTCTTCGTCTTGGGTCTGCCCATTATAATTCAATCATTGTGAGTATTCGTAAAGTATTTTGAATGTTTGTTTTTGTTTGTTTCTTTTCGATTATGAAGGAAAATTAGCAGAATGTATTGAAGGGTACATTCGTTTACTAAATGCAAATGTAGGTACACACATGCATATGGTCTCCCTCTCACACACATACACACACGCATACATACATATGCATGCATGCACGGACAATCCCCACACACACACACATACACACAAAGGATTCATGCACACACACACACATACACACAAAGAATTCATGCACACACACATGCACATGCACACGCACACGTATATGTAAATGGGTATGATACAGCTCCCACCTCATGATCATATGCACATACAAATGCACACAACACACACACACATATTTATACACTTATAGATACACACTTATGTAGAAGAATTTGATTTTCAATTCCTGTTTCATGTATTGTAAAATTAAATGTCATTGTTTTGTTTTGTTTTTTCCACTTGAATATTAATTATCAAATTTACAGTATTATTCTAATTGTATTGAAAGTATCACTCAGAGAAAATTATTCCATTTTTCAGTACATCAATGGTGTAGCTGTGACGTCCCATGAAGGAGGACATCTCCCCATAATGGCCGAGATATCAAGTGGTCTTAGATTTGGGAAAGAAAACCTTGTCACCGTGGCCATCAACAACACTTTGACGCCCAGCACGTTACCTCAGGGAAAGATTGTCTACCATAATGACCCTACGAAGCAAGTTCTATAAGTTTTGGGCTGCCTTTAGTATTGCAAATGAAAAAGTGACCTGCATGCTTCAAAATAGGCTTAGAGCTGTATATGGTCTACTAGAGCAGGGATCAACGGTCCACTTTTCTGTCTCTGATCAATGTTCTTGTATGGTTTGCAGAGAATTTTTTCATTTTTGCAATTAAGCTGTCAATTTACCAATAAGTTGCTATAAATGATTGTCAGACTCTAAACATTTCCATCCATTAGAGAAGTATGAAACAGAGTGTAGAAATACATCATTTCAATAGCTTTTACAAGGCTGAAAAATATTCAATTATTTGATTGGTAAAGCTTTCCAGGTTTAACAAAATTTTAGCTCATTTTTATAAAACTTTTAGTCAGGACTGTTAAAGTGTATATAATGTATCAGTCAGGGGTATACTACCCTGGTGTAAATCTCAGCTCTCAAAAAAAAAGGAAAGAAAAGAAAAGCAAAGATACTCTGGTCACCTATAGCATTTATATTTCATATATTTTGTTTGGTTAGCTTTGGTAAGCAAGAAAAGACAAGAATAATTTTTAGAGAAAAGAATTTCTGTGATATAAGAGATAATGATGAAAAGAACTCTTTGTATGCATATTTTATGTAAATATAATTTATGTTAGATTCATTATATGAATATAATGTTTTTTACCTTTTTCTATTTTTTTAACAGGTATCCTCCCGGTTACTTTGAGCAGACATTAGACTTTGACTTTTTCAACTATGCAGGTCTTCATAGGCCAGTTTACCTTTACACAACACCACAAACATACATTGATGATATAGTGGTTAACACTGATATTGATGGGTCTGCAGGTTTGTAATGGTTAACACATTGCTAAGTCTTTCTTTGAAAAAAAAGAAATGGATACTGTTTTGGAAATTATTTTGCTATTTATTTCCTCCTTTTCTTGTTATAATGAACAAATATCTGAATGATGATAACAAGAAGTTTTGTTTCCAAGAGCTAACCAATAACTTTGTCTTTCAGGTATCATTAATTACAAGATATTTGCGGCCACCTCTGGGATCGGCCCCCAGACTGAAGACAACGTGGGCTGTTCAGTCAAGCTCCTGGATAACGAGGGGGATCATGTTACTAGTGCCATGGGGTGTGTTGGCACCATTAAGATCAGCAATGCCAGTCTTTGGTGGCCATATCTCATGCATAGCAACCTGGCTATATGTTACGTTGATGGTAAATATAGTTTGACATTACTGTGCATGTATATAGTACTCTCTCTCTTGATCTAGGTATCTGTATACTGTATTTATATATGTATGTGTATGATTACACATTTGTATGTAATTATATTCTTGTATATGTTTCATATGTATATATACAGTATATAAGCAGACTAATAAACTGCCACTATAAAACACTGCTGGATAAGTTCTTAAGAACTGAAATCACTATTCTTCCATTACTTCAGGCAGCAGTGTCAGATGAGCATGGTGTGCTGGACCTTTATCCTCAGAAAGTTGGCATTCGCACTCTTGGATGGAACTCCACTACGCTGACCATCAACAATCGGCCTCTTTATTTGCGTGGCTGTGGGCGGCATGAAGATGCTGATGTAAGTGGATTATAGATGAGGGATGAGGATGAATGGTTTGATCTGTTGTTTGAGTGGAAGCTACGTATCCTGATATTTCAGAAATATAATTTTTCTGGTTTATGATAAGATTGCATGATAAATTAACCTCATGATTTGGATCCCTTGTATTCTAAAGATCCGGGGCAAAGGTGTTGACTACCCACTGATCGTGAAGGACTTCAGCCTCCTCAAGTGGCTGGGTGCAAACAGCTTCCGTACGTCTCACTACCCCTATGCGGAGGAGATCATGGACATGGCAGACCAGGAGGGGATCATGATTGTGGATGAGAGTCCTGCAATCGGTCTCAAGTATGTTCTTCAAATATTCTGGGAATTTGTTTTTCTCTTTATGGTTTGAGTTCATTAAGTGGCTTCGGTTCAGAAATTAGATTTTCCTTTTTGATAAGCTTTGGAAGTAAGGCAAAGTGTAAATTCTTTGGGGATTTGATAATAGAATGGCTTCATTTTCTTTTTTCACCAGTGGTTTTGGCGAGGAGTTAATGAAGCGCCACATAGCGTCATGCAGGAATTTTCGCCGTGACAAGAATCGCCCGAGTGTCATCATGTGGAGTGTTGGGAATGAGCCAAAGTCTTACGAGCCTGCTGCAAAAGAGTATTTCAGGTAGGAAGAATTCTGTTAAACTTTGTTATATGAAGGTATATATGTAAAGTATGATCATGCAGTCAAAAGATTTGGAAGTTGTTTTAATTGTTTTGGAATGTACTTAGAGTAGTAAGAAAATATATTCTAGAAAAGGCAGTATGGCTTAAGTTTCAAGTTAACTAGCTTTATCTAATGCATTTAGAGGAGTGCATAGTATAGTACGTTCAGTCTCAGGAAGCGAAACACAGGCAACTCACCCCAAGCTCTGGAGTATTTCAATTTGCCATTTCTTTATTTACTTTTAAAAAATAATAATCAGCTGACATTTACTACCAATGTCTGCATACCTCTGGCATTTTTAAAACTCAAAATATATAATTTTTAATGCTTTGCACCACTTTCATACCTTTCTCAAAAGGGACTTGGCAGATTGCTAGTACTCCATTCTAGATTGGGTTTCTAGTTCTTCCTTTTCTGAGACTGGATGGGGCATAGTGGCTGTGTACCCAGAGTGGAAGGTGGCCAGAGATCACTAGGAAACAGGGCTTAGGCCAGGTAGTGATATCGCAGCTTTGATAAGCATGTGCTGCCTGCTTCCATAAAAAAGGTATTCTTAATTCAATGCTGATAGAGGTTTCCCATGCAATGCAGAGCCATGTGCTGGTTCCTGGAAACAGTCAGTCAGTGTATGGTTATATATGTCTTCTGTTGGCAGTGGGTTAAGTTTCACGAATGTTTATTGGCAAATAACCCATCTGTGTAACATTTAGGAGAGCAACTCAAGTTTTATTCAAAAATTATATTTTGATGTTCAGACTACTTTTAAACCAAACAAAGTAGATTTTCCATTAATATTTCAGTGATCAACTGGTAGAAGATTAATTTAATTGGTATACATTGAAGTGTTAACCTCAAAATTTTATTTTGAATTGTTAAAAATCTTAGTGATCGGTACATTAAGATGATGGGCAATTGTCAAAAAAGGGAATCCTTTAAACCCTAACTTAAACTCACTTAATTTGGCTTTTTCATTCAACTTTTAAAACTTCCGAATGAAATAAGATTTACACACTTCTTTCAGTGCTGTGGTTAATGCTACTAAAGAAGCTGACCCAACACGCTCTGTCACGTGTGTCCTGAGCGTTGACAAACACACAGACTTAGCTGTATGTAAAGACTTGATAATGTTGATGCATTTCCTAACTGATTTTAGAGGACCTGCATGTATGATATTACTTGTGCTGTATAGTCAACTGATTACTGCTGTGTATCTGTGTCTGGAAGGACATCAGGTTTATGATTTGTGTGTGTTGCATTAGGTGAAATAAGAAATCCCAAAGACAGGTCTTAATGAGGTGAAAAGTAAAGCATTCCTGGTTGGCATTCTTCCAGTCCAAAATCAGAGTTCCGCTCACACAAAAAAATTATTTTTGCAATACATGATTTTATAAGGTTTTACCTTTTATATACAAGACACAGTAGTAGATGCTATTTGTGGTGCAAATCAGTCTAGACCAATAACATACAAAACACAGAACAGTAGTAGATGCTATTTGTGGTGCAGATCAGTCTAGACCAATAACATCTGTGCTCAGTCAAGGTGCACTTACCGACTTTACTGTACATTCAGTGTGACATTGATCAACTGTCTGCCACACTGAATAGTACTGGTGTCACTATCATTTTTTTCCAATAACATTTTATATTACAAGTGATGTCAATACCCTTTCCCTTTACTGCAATCCTATAAACAGAAAGTAATGCAGGAGAAAAAGACACTGTATATACTTATTATTTCATCGTGTGACTATGTTACTTTGTCTGGTGTAAATGATTATCTTGATGAATTATGTGTAGGACCAACCATATTTTGACTAGCAGTTACTGATCCCTTTCAAGTAAGACTGATAAACCAGGTATAGTTACTCGGGCTAAAAATGGAGTGATACTTTTTGATATATATAGTTAAGCATGAGTCACCTTTAGCAAAACAAGAAATGCATTTCTGTAGAAGGGAATAAGCGGTCAGATTGAGATAATTCTCATGCAAGCGTCATCCAGTTTACATGTTGTTATGATATGTCTTCCAAAAATTATATAGTCTGATTTTGTTTATTCTGCAGCAATGTTGTGAATGCCACCAAAGCAGTTGATGCTACCCGTCCAGTTACTTGTGTTCTCAATTATCCAAAAGACGAAGAACATGCTGTATGTTCACTTACATGTATTTCTTCACTCAGCTAGCAGCATTTCTCACTCATTTAGCAGCATAGAAGTGGTGCATGTGCATGATGCATGTATGTGTAGCATACTTTGCTGAAACTGATAATACTAATATGATCTAGATTTAGTTATGTCTTATGTGTATAGTAACTCTACTTGTTTCTAAATTATTTGGTCAGTGTGATATACATTTCATTTTTATTAATGGTAGATATGTTGTTGTTTTTTTGTTATGATTTCCTCCAGAGACCTTTCAGAATTTAAAATTTGTTTTATTTTTGCAAGTTTTAGACCTATTTTCTTTTGACGGGAAAATTCATTGTGCTTTAGCCAGGATTCCACGAACTTTGAGCCCAGCCTCATATGACTCAGGCATGGTCCCTAAGCTACCTGTGGCTGCCTAGCATCCCTTTTTGGTTCACCTACTCCCCATGGTTAGGTGTAGCTAGTCTGGCTTCAAAACATTTATACTGCTTTCATAGCTGTAGCACCATATAACAAATTTCCAAGGCGGTTGCTGACGATTAGGAGGAATTGAGCAAAGAAGTCTTTAGGTCTGGTTCCTTGAATTCTGTAGAGAGTCAGTCCACTTAAGTCTGGTCAAAAGGTGAAAATATCTGGTTTCAGCCTGGCTCCAGAATCGGGCAAAGCTATTGGAATTTTGGCTTTATCTGATTCAGGTGCCACCACTCAAGCTAGAAGTCAGACCTTAAATTTGTTTGCCCAGATCTCAGTATCTTTTTTTCACAGGTAGTAAATCATCTGGGATCGTCTCAAAATTTTTCCAATATTGCTATGCTGTTATAACATCAGTAAAGAACACCTTAGAACCAGCCTAGGTACCAAGGGGAGTGTAATTGTGTTGTAACCTAAACGCAACCCAGAACAGCGAGGGGTTACTCAGGGTCTGGGGCTAAGACCATCTTAGATATTCCTGGGTCCTTCTTTTTCTTTGTCTGCTTCTTGTATTCCATCTCTCTTTTGAATTTTGGTGCTGCTTCTTTATATGACTGTGTTTATTACAGTTTGATTGGATATAATTAATTTGAAATATTTGAAATTTATAGTAAATTGAATGCTTTTTTAGATTGTTGGGATTGTAATCCATGTCATTAGTTTTTAGATTTGTTTGTTGCTTGATATGAATTACCTCTATACTGCCAACAAAATGTAAATCTATATATCCTAGAGGTGTGTGATAGATATGCATTGTCTGTTTGTGGAGAAAATGTCAGTTGGTAGATTGTGTGATGCATTATATTGCTTGCATGTTTCTCTACATGTGATTGTACTTGTAAGATTTTATTTGAAAATATGCAAGACAACTTTTTGAAACAAACCTGTTACACAAAAGTGTGTTGAAATGAAGAAATAAAGAATACATATATCTTTATGTGCATGATTCACAGCTTCATGTATTGCCTTTTCCAGGGAAGCAGCCTAGATGTGATTTTGGTGAATCGCTACTTCTCCTGGTACAGTGACACAGGGCACCTAGAGCTGATTTATAATCAGACTGTGAATGAGTTCATGGAGTGGCATCTCCTCCACAACAAGCCTGTTATGATCTCGGAGTATGGAGCTGGGTCCATTGCTGGTTTCCATATGGTAACTATTGAACCCTTAAACACTGGACTTTGTGATACTCATCTCTTTCCATGTCTGTGGACATTTTTTAATGTTTAAAAAAAAATATCTGGTTATGATTAAACTTAAAATACTAAGATAAAGGTGATCGTAAGTGCAGAGTATTCATGGCAGCAAGGAGAGCCTAGTATAACAGAGTTAGGAAGGGGACTGGGTTGTGGGGAGCTGTGGGCGTGAACCAAGCCAGGTCTCTCTCAACTGTATGTTGGTAGACATGCTCTGGTGGTGCAGGATTAAGATCTGTTGAAAATTGTATTGAACAGGCTATAGAATGATTGAAATTGGGACTAATATTGCAAGTTTTATTATAAATTATGGCTTCAGTTTTACTTTAACGATATCAGCTTCAAGAATTTGAAATTAAGCTGTATAATATAAGTTGTAGTTTTATCTTTTAACAACAACAAAAAAAGATAACACTAATGATAATGGAAAAGTTGAAGGTTTATTTGTATAAAAAGAAACCTATGTTTTCTTGTTCTGCCTTCACCAGTTTTCACCTTTTTTTTTATATTTAAGGACCTTCATTCACATGGACTGAAGAATACCAAGCAGATTTGATGGTGGAGAATTTCAAAGCCTTTGATACACTCAGAAGCAAAGGTTACTTTTTTGGCGAGATGATATGGAACTTTGCTGACTTTTCCACACCGATGGTAAGAGTTTTTTTTGTATATGGATAAGGTGATTTAGATATTTCTCAAATTTTACTGTGCTGATTTCACAGAGGGTAGTTTTTATGGTCAATTGGGTGTTCCTGAATTTCTAACTAAACTCAGAATAAGGGCATTGAATATTGCTTAGCACTTATTACCAAATCTTTACATATGTATCACAACAAATGAGAGACAGAAAAAGAGGAAGAAATGGATGTTCTCAGTGGATAATTTTCACAAAGCAAAATAATTGCTTATACATCAAAGGTCAAACAGTAGTACTATAGAAAGGTGTAGTAGTGAAAAGGGTAAAGAAAGGGGTTAGTTAATGATGTAATGTGCTATACTGTCGAAAGCTGTACAGGAGCTTAGGATAGTATAGCATTGAAAGGGGTAGAGAAGGTGAGTAAATGGGTTACGGTAAGGATTAACATGGGTGATTAATCATTGTTATCAAAGAAAAAGTGGGATTCTGTAGTGGGAAAGTCCTGTCACACTGTAAGGGCAACTGTAAAGGTGAAGTCACAGGTGATAAAACAAGAAACTACTTGTTTACGGTGTAGTTTGTCGCCCATGACATCATCTCTGTTCATGCCCACCATCCCTGTGCCTGACCATCTTGCCCACCTGTGTGGATAGTCCTTAAGATAAGGATTAGCAAAAGGGGAGGGGGAATCAAGGGCAATTAGATCAAAGAGCAGTTTCAGGAGAAATGTCAGGAGGGGGGATATGAAGAAGTAGAAGGACAACAAGGAAGGAAGAGGGGGCTTATGTAGATGAAGCAGGGGAGATGGGGTGTATTGGGAGGGAGGGGGAGGAATAGGTAGAGGGAACTTGAATAGAAGGAGGATGGATGTCGGCAGTCACTTTTGAGTGTAGAGGGAATAGATTTTGGAGGATGAATGATTGACAGGTGCGTTACTTTAGCGCCATTAGATAGTTTTGTATGACCTCAAGATGACTTGGCCTCACATAAGATGAGGCCAAGTTAAAGCTGAGGACGTTTCCTC